ATGAAGTAACACTGACAGATACAGAAAAATCTTTCTGCTGTCTCTGTATGGGAAATTATGCCGCGAAATATAAATAAAGGAATCTATTTGTATGTACAGTGCACTCTCACAATACGATGTTCGTTTTCCGGAAAGATCGGTTTGTGGAACATTTCTATTGAATCCTTTCCGAATAAGGCAAGCCAGTTAGGGCCTAGCCTAGGCCTAGACGCTAAAAATAGGCTTAGCTTAGCATCATAGGCTAGCCCAGTAAATTCGGTATGACTAGCCTACAAAAAAAGTTAACATTTAACATATAATACGTACAGTACCTGTTGTTTAGCTGTATTGCACAGCAAATTGTATTACTGTACCAATAAAATGAATGTTTTTATATTGTTTTTACGTGCATTTTCGGTCTGACATTTTTTCTAAACTGTAAACACAACACATCTTTCGTGGTCACGACGAAGCGACTTGTAAATATATGAGGTCGCGCCTCCTAAACTCTGCACGGTAATTGGTTAATTTTTTTCGTGGGGTTATGTTGCTGGGCAAAAATCCCATGTGCTTGGCTGTGGTGACGTCAGACCGCCCAAAGTTTCATAGTGCGTGACAGCTCGCTGGCAGGAACAAGCTTAGTGTAAACCGATAAATTTTTAATTAAACAAATTTATTAAAATGAATAAGAAACCCTTGTGGTTTTGTTTTAGAGTAAAATCTAAAATTAAATCTAACAAATTAAAATTTCATTCTGCAAATTCCCTCCGTAATTAGCAATGTTTTTTGGGGAATGTGAGTGTAATTTACATGTAGACGTACTGATATAATATGAATCTAATGACATACCAAATCCGAATTAAACGTCTACTGAAAAAGAGCCGTCGTAGAAACAATTGCTTTGAGTTCCTTTTTCATTTCAGGTTGATTACAGTCGCTTTTTAAGTATTCATGGGCGATAATGCACTTTATTAAAACAATGGAAGGCATAACTTTCACTTTATCTAACATTTTACTGGCGTGTTGTTTTAATTAATAGACAATCTCCATGGCAATGCTATTGGGACTGTACGAACGGTTCATTTACAGGGTGTGATTATTGCGTTATTTCGTCTGGAAATCGTTGCGTTTATTAACTTTTTGTCCCACGTTGCATTGTGGGATGGATACATGACATGGATGTTTTAAATTCACGGTGCTCACACAGACGGAAATCAAATTCTACTTGTCGCTATATCATGCGGAGAAGGTGATTTCCCTCTGTCTGTACGTCTAGCCATGGATTCCTCTATGATGCGTGATGTTATCGGTTCGTAGCAGACATTAACATTACAATAAACAGCAAATATCGATCTTGTTGACATTATCTGTGTGAAATATTTTGTAAAGACATCGTTAAGAGGTGAATGATTAAAGCTTTAGGTATTTCGTCAGATTTTCATTGACATTTTAACTGGTCACGCGGACTTGTTATTGGGATAATTAACAGGTCCGCCATGCATTTTACTAGCCATTGGCCGGCGGACCAGCGTTATTTCGAACCCTGCATTATCATTATCTTCATTATCATTATTAAGTATTACAATAATTTATTACATTTTTACAGTTGCTGCGCGTCTTAAATCTGTCAAAAATATTCAGAAGATAACAAAGTCAATGAAGATGATAGCAGCAGCTAGGTATACAAAGGCAGAAAGAGAGTTGAAACCTGCTAGGCAATATGGCTCAGGACCTCAAGGTACGAATGCATTTTAGTTTGCAACAATATTCTTATTTTATTACATTTTATTACCCATATTGATTTACATGTTAGACAAGACTTTTTTTATGCCTTGTTTAGCAAACCTGCCGCCTGTAAATAAATGATGATTTAGAATAAAAAATCAGGAGCGGATCTAGTAGGGGTCACGTCCCCCTAACCCCTCGCCCCACTAAATTTTAAAATTTCAATGCACGTGTGCTACTCACTTACCCCTTCAGAAACTGTTGTGTCCCCCCTAAGCCCACTGCAACTTCATACTGAGTAGGTATGTGTTTTGGGATGTTTTTGGCATAAACATGTGGGGACCATACCAAACCATACAAACTAAAGCCCTGTTTAGACTATCAAATTTACTTGATTTAATTTCATTTTATTTAGACATGTGACATGCCTAAACATGGTCATGAGGACATCACATCATAATATTATTTTTAATAAAATATCTACATATTAGCGCAGCGGGAACGGTTTGGCTTCTCAACCTCGAGGTCAGGGTTTCAATCCCTTGCATTTCGCTTGTGTCCTTGAGCAAGGCACTTTATCTGCATTGCTTCTCTCCACCCAGGAGTATAAGTGGGTACCTAAGGAGGTTGAATTGAAAATGCGCTGATATATTTCATGCAGCGAACTATGGAATTTCCCCTATAGGCATCATTCCAATGACTGGGGTAATAATGTGGAAAAGCGCTCTGAGACTTAGTTGTATAGAGCGCTATATAAAACCTACATATTATTATTATTATTAATTACATAGTAAATTTTGTATAATGTTTGTAAAACATTTTGATTTGTTTTTCTTTCAGATTTTTATTCAAAGGCTGAACTTGAAGCAGACGTAAGCAAACCTAACCATCTTATCATTGGTATGTCAAGTGATAGGGGGCTCTGCGGGGGTATACATAGCAGTGTATCGAAGGCCATTAAACGAACGCTTGACGAGAAACCAGAAGGTGTAACAACGAAAGTAATCACAATTGGTGATAAAATCCGAGGACAACTTTTAAGGTTTGTTTGAATACTTACACTTGATAAACTTTAAAGTCAGGCTCCGGAGGAAAAAAATTTGTGATATGTTGTAAAATTGATTTTTCTAAGACAGAAAAAAGTAGGTTGATCAAAAACTGAGCAACGGTGAATGAGATACAGATTTTTGAATATTTAAAAACTGGGGGAAAAAAGGTGTAAAAATGGGCGGTTACACCCCAGTTTTTCGTCAAACAACTTTTTTCTGTCTTAGAAAAATTATCAAATTTTTTTTTTCCTCCGGAGTCTGACTTCAACTAATTACAACATGAGTATATCTACCCATAAAGTTACTGCATGTAGGTTCCTTATACATTGATTTCTGAATTAAGTAACATAAATAATAAATAATTAGCTCTTTTAAATATTAGGCTAGTTCAAGTTGATGAATACATTTATGTAGGAATTGGAATGCAGAAATGAATTTATTCTTGGGTTTGTCATCTTTGCAGTGTAGTTTAATTGAGTGTTGTCTTTGGATGGGTTGTGGAGTGTGGTGTTTATAAAGCCCTGTCCAGACTATCAAATTGTCCATATATAGCCATGATTTGCCTATATATGGTCATAATGTGATGTCATCATGACCATATATAGCCATGATTTGCCTATATATGGTCATGATGTGATGATGTCATGGCAATATTTAGGCATGTCACATTCTAATTCTTTAAGAACAGTGTATGTGTTATGATCAGTGTTCGATTTCCAGCATTTTTTGTGTGGCGCAAAAAGTGCTATGCACTTTTTATTTTGTGTAGTAATTCAAAAATTGTGCATAGCATTTTTTTCAGTAGTGATAATAAATGATTATTAAATGGAAAAAAAACCCATTGAAACATACCCCATAATATTCCCTTATTTACTTTAAATTTCCCTTCAATAATATTATACCCACCCCGTGCAGAAGTCGACCTGGCTGTGATTACCAATTTACCAACTATGTGACAACTGTCAAACACTGTCCGTTTGCTTGTCTCACTCCCACTGTCATACTGTCCCGTATTTGTACGGCCCGACTAACAGTGCCAAGAAAAATGTAAGATAATTTGCATACTGCACATCTGCATGTGCATGCCACGCTAGTATGGTACATACTGTACATGACATTAAACATTACTCCACTTTACAAACACATGTGTAAGCGAAAGCGATTTACAGGAGAAGCAGAATGGAGGGAGTGGAAACAAGCATATTGCGCTATTTTTGGCCCAAAACATTGGATAACAACTTGACTTTGACTGTTTTTAAAACAATTTTCTGAACCTTTTTGTGCACTAAGCCTCTTAGTTTTTACAGCCAGGCCTTGCCGAAGACTGACTGGGTAATTCTAGGCAAATAATTGCGTTGCATTTTATTGTGATGCATTTGAGGGAGTGCTTGCCAATTAGTTTAAAACACGTCACATTTTGCGATGCGATACTGGGTAAATCGTATGCTGGTTATAATTTTGTTGAAAGAATTGAGTTGGTTGGTTTGCCACATCAAATTATAAATATGTAATCTAGTTTAGCTATAGTATGTTAAAACAGCACACAAGGCTGGAATGCCAAATGACTTGATGAATTTCTATCTTGATTTCAATTGACTGATCTTTTTTTCAATTTAGAGTTCATGCTGATAAGCTGATGATGGGTTTCTCCGAGGTTGGTAGGAAGTCACCAAATTTTACTGTAGCTTCAAATGTGGCAAGCGCCATCCTTGACAGCGGTTACGAATTTGATGTTGGCGAAATCATTTACAATCGCTTTAGGTAAATATATTGCGAATATATATATTGAGTTACCTCATAAAGATTAATTACGCAATAACAACATTTTTTGACTACTACCCTACGCATACTGTATTTTTGCGCGAAAAAAAAGTGCTGCCCAAAAGCAAAAGTCTGGCTATGTAAACCATATAAAGGTAGGAGGTAAAGGAAGGAGAATAACCCATAACTTGCAGCGTCATTGTGGGCATGGTCTGTGGTCTGTAACTACCTAGCATCTGTAAATATGCACTTTATGATAGATACATGTTCACATCATTCCACAACGACCGGCTGAAATGAACCATAACATCAGGGTAACCCCCTACTCTTCCGAAAGATGCAATGGGTTCTTTAAAGTGCACACGAACCAAATGTATACACTGGACCTCCATTTTAAGTCCTTTTCCGAGAAGACTTGTTTCTACCAACCGAACCATGGGCGAGGAGCAGCCGGAACCAGCATCGATGTTAAGGTTGTAGCCAGCGGCGCTCCTGCCTTACTGCTTTGGCCACTCGACTCGCCATATGTGAACTCTGTAATTTTACCTCACAGCTTAAAACGGCTTATATATATTTAGCTGTGTGGTATATTAAATACAACATGACAACATGGTATTATCTCGGTAAAGTAGTGAATTTTACTTTGCCTGGTGTTGGATTATTATCCAAAACTAAGGGAAGTAGAATTTACTTGTTGCTTCACCACAAACCATGTTGTATTTGTAAAATAAAAAATTTTATTATATTATATGTCAGCTAAAAATTGATGTGACATCAGGCGAATGGTCACAACAAGTAACTCGAGCCGTCTAGGCAACTTGGTGATGTCACCTGGAATGAGTGCCCAGTTCATATGGAACTAGAGCAGTCCCTCCATAAAGTGCAAACCTCCGGCCTGTGCTTGAATACCAACAATACACAGGCTGTGTATGTTGGGCGAAACTGCAGCATACCCTCAAAGAAATAAGGAAATGCCCGTTGTATTTAAGCACATTCAGAGCTGCCTGAACACGAGGGGTGATTCCAATAATTTCTGCTTTAGTACATTCAGTTCTTTAAAGCTTTTTATATTTAAATTGTAGTAAACCATTGATACATGTTTTGTTTCTGTGCAATTGTTATTCCAGGACTGTTATATCCTATGATACTCTCAGCCAAGCCCTGATGCCTTTGGAGACTTTAACTTCATCAGGTAAAAGGCTTTCTGTTCATCTTATTTAATGCCATTTAGATTTCTATTATACAGAGTGATGTTATTCTGTAAAGAAAAGGGGCATAGACCCAGAGAAAAAGCTTGTAAGTAGAGCATGTATGCTCATTTCTATAAATAAAAACATTTTCAAAAGTTTACTTATTGTTTGAAGTTTAGATAATGAGGATAAGACCATGCAGCTCACCATTAATGAAGAGTTTTTATTTAAGGGTCCTCACCAACCAAATATAATACACAGGTAAAATAGAAGATATACATTGACAGTTGAAATTGAATACAAACCTATAAGGTTATTTGAAATATATTGTGTAATTTTTCTCTTTATTTCAGAGAAAATGAGTATTTATGATGATGTAGATGCTGATATCCTGCGTAATTACAATGAATTCCTGTTGGCAAATCTAGTGTATGTTTGCATGATAGAAGGAAACTGCAGTGAGCAGAGCTCCAGAATGAGTGCTATGGACTCTGCTACCAAGAATGCAGGTAAGATTACACTTCATCTTGAGAACTGTCTGGAAATATCTGGGGAAAGCTTAACAAAATATCTGCTGAATGCTCATTAAAAAGAATACTATAAGTTCCTATAATACTTTAATGGGTCACAGATAAAAACAAGTTATGCTTTAATTGACTTGCAGAATTTTTACTGCAAGAATCCTTTCCAACCACTCCGACTAAAATTATTTGTTTGCTAAGCATTGACCTCAAATATGCTTATAGTTATATTCCATTTTGAATAAGCATTGTATTGCTTTTGTATAAAATACCTTGATGCTTAATGTTATTGTGAAAGTATTTAATCGCCCAACAAATAAGATGCTCCTAGATACTGTAAAAAACGTTTAATCCTTTGTTTAAAGGATGCAGTACACCGATTGATAAAACGTTTGTTCTGTCGGAGTTCACCACTAGAATGATCCCATTGGAAATAAAGTCCTGTCCAGACTATCAAATTCTATTTTACAAAAACATGTGATATACCCATATATAGGCGCATTATGACTATATATGGGCATGAGTTATACCTCACCAAAATATTAAATCCAATCTACATTTTCATAACACTACTTTTTTGTTTGTGTTTTTTTTTCTGAAAAGGTGACATGATTGACAGATTGACATTGACCTACAATCGTTCTCGACAAGCCATCATTACTGGTGAACTCATTGAGATCATCTCTGGTGCTGCTGCTATATAAATATGTATAAACCAGTATACACTAGTCATCCAAGAAGTTTGCTTGTGTTTGATTTAAATAGTTAATAAATTACAACTTGTTAGTCCTGTTCAAAGATGAATAGACAATTCTTCCATCTCTAATGAAGAATAGAAATTCTTTTAAGATGTTTTGCTTGAATGATAAATATATATAAATTCATTTTTATGAACTGAGAAATAACTCTGTGTGGACACAAATCTTGTCTGTGCATGAAATAGAAATTCTGAAGGTCCGAAAGAATCTGCTTTCACAAATTAACTGCAGGTAGAGTGCATAGTCATTTAGAACAATGACATTTTTTCCATAAATCTATTTCCTGTTGGAATTGCATAATAAATCTAAAAAGGAGTGGTAATCACAAAAGAATTGTTCATTGTTTTTCCATTCTTTGTCACTATATTAATCTGAGCTGTGTGTCCACACTATCAAATTCTATGTGACAAGTTTGTGTGATGTGCCCATATATGAACATGATAATGTCATATTCCACCCAAATATGAGCATGTCACATTTATTTGTCACATAACATAATAGTGTGGACCCACCCAAATACAGTATGAGCATAACACTTTTATTTGTCACGTAACATATAACAGTTTGGACGCACCCAAATATGAGCATAACACTTTTATTTGTCACATAACATAGGCCTAGTGTGGACGGAGCTTAAGTTTGCGCTTAACTTTGCCAGTCAGATATGCATCAAGTCTCATGGGTACATGTGTCTTCCTGCACAATGACATTTGTATCACATTAACACAATGTGAAATACTTAGATGCCTATTACAATACGCACTATCAAAAAATCTTCAATACCAAGTTGACGGGGGCTGTAGCCAACATGCACCGGAAAA